GCCCTAGAGTTAGGAATGATTAGCATATATGTGCGAGGGGAACCTTTACCTTTACTGTGAAATAATATAACCATTTGGTTATACATAGATAGACAAAACTAGGTTTTTTTAATGCTAGAGAAAGTCAGAGGAGATACCTTTGATGGAATGACTAAGCATGGAAGCGAGAGGCACCATTGTTGATAATGCACACACTAGGCAGAGGCAAACTGAACCAATGTCTGCCTAAAGGCAAAGACTCACCCTTCTGCTCCTGCCACTAAAGCCTTTTCGCTTCCTGATGCTTCTGGAACATCATCTTCCTCTGAGGATCCTGCACTAGAAGATTCTTCATCACTGTCTGCAAGGTAATATGCTCTTGGCCTGAAACTGAAAGGAGGGACACAGGTTAAGACAGAAGCAACACTTCATTAATGTTGGACAGGACAGTGTTTTGACGCCTTAGGCAATTAGAGACTTTCTACCATTCGCTTCTGTCTCCCCAGTTTGTTTTTAAGTGCACTGGAGTTCAGGCAAAGGGTAGAAATGCTGTACATCAATCTGCTGTCCCTGAACACAACAGTGCCAGGCTTTACTTAAAATAAAAGGAAACGGGTTTGAATACCTTTTATGCGGTTTAATGAAATGTCAAATAAATTAAAGACATATAAGGATGCGTCTCTTTCATATCTAACTTCCCAATATAATGGAATACAATGCTGGCAATTATAACATTAAGAGGAGGAGGATGAGAAACTTGGCGTGTACTTTCATTTTTTAAATGTAATGGGATATGCTTCTGAGGTCCGAATGAATTGCTGTATGAAAAGTCAGAATTGATTTTGTAAGTGCTGTATGCTTCCAGAAGAATATGCATTCCTTCCACTGTCTCTTCCACATATACATACCTAGCCTTTTAACCCAACAGCCACTGATGAATCCTAGCCACACCCCACTCTAGGCCACTAGCAGTAATGGAATCAGAAATATTTTGAACAAGATATTTGGCAAGTAAATGCAAAGGACAATTACAGCCTCAGATGCAAAGCATGTCTAAGGAAGAGTTTCCATAAGGCTTGGAGCATCTTTTCAGGATCTCTTGCATTTCAAGTTGTCTTTAAAAAGAAATACCCAGTTGATTATGCCTTAATTGTGAATTGTGATTTAAGGGGGAGAAATGCTCAGCACCTCTACATTTCATCCATAGCTTTTCCTGGGATTGAAACTTATTCATAATCAGTTCTCAAGATTATCATTCTTTAAACCTAGGTTCAGTTGGTGGCAAAATTCGAAAGAAGACTAATGCCTTCAGCCAAATTTGATTTGGAAACAACCTCAAGCTTCTTCCCAGCTGAGAAAGGACTTATTTTCCTGTCCGTAATAGAGACAGTACTTTTGCAAAATCTGTGCCTATCTTTTAGCTGACTACAAAATGCACCGCATAATTATCTGACTTTTTTTTAAGAAAAAAAGAGCAGCTCTTTAAAAATTCAATCCCTACAGAATAAAGATAAAGATTGTTCAACAGAGATCATTAAACTTTTTCTTGCCAATAATCTCTTTTGTCACCGCAGAGAGGCCTCCGTGTGCCATCTGTGGCACGTGTGCCATAGGTTCGCCATTACAGTTCTATACCAATCTGAACAGCAAGTGTTTCACAAAAAAATGATCAAAAACTCAATTGCTCCACAGCAAACCATGCTAAATGAAACTAATAGACACAGACACAGTACCACCACTCAAATGGTACTGCTAAGTACAGTGGTACCTTGGTACTCAATTGCTTTGAACCTCATTGAATTTGGTAGTCAACAATTTTGATATGAAGATTTTGTCCCAGTACACATCATTCGTTCGGTACTCAATGCACAAGCTAGAACTAGTAGGTACTGACTGCCTTGTGACTCACTATACTATTCCTTATAGGAAAAATTTGTTTGGTACTCATTGATTTTGGTACTCATCACATCTCCTGGAATAATTTAACTATGAGTACCACTGTATTTGTTGTCATCACAATGTCTGATTGGTTACAGCAGAGGATAATGATAAGGTCCGACGCGTCATCATTAGCTTCCCCTGTCCTAGAAATTAACTCAATTTTTTGTATCTTGCAGTTTGACAAACGTTTCTTTAAGTACCTGGGAAAACAAATAATCTAGAACAGTCTGCTAACTTTTATAGATTGCTATGAATATTTCTTTCCCACTCTCCAGAATTTTTCCAGAAAGATTTGCAACTTTCAATTACGTCAGCAACATTCTTGCCATCTTCTAATCCAGTGTTTTTCAACCACTGTGCCGCGGCACACTAGTGTGCCG